CAGAATCTACGTTCCATGCTGAGTTTTGATGGTTGAAGAGCCACACAGGTTCTGGAGCTTAATCATTGAAGATTCCTGGTTGGGTCTTGAAGCAGAGGCCAGAATGTATACAGTTATAGTATGCTCAATGCAAGTTAAAGAGTGTTTGTGAGGTAGATGGACTGTCAAGCTTTTATTTACACACCACCTTTAGTGGACCCAGTCCTTCAATCGATCATACACGTAGAAGTAACACTTGTGCTTCTACTATACCTCCGAATAGTGTAGTCTATCACAACTAAAGAACCTGTAAAATTGGAAAGTATACCGAAATATCAAGACAACAAAGATCCACAAATAACCGTTGATTGAAAACCAGCAGACTGATCACCTCGATTATTCTCATATCTGCAAACGTACATCCGTACGAGGGAGTAGTGGAATAATCCCAAGTCCCTCTCTTACCATTTTCTTTATCCAGCCAATCCTATTATCTAATCAAAGAGCTCTCTCAGGTATCATATCATCCAACTCGTATCTTCCCTACCAATACTCCTATCGTAATATCTAACATGTCAGGCCATCCTCCTGGCGTAGAACCACACGATATCCAACATTCGTCTCACGACGATCACAGAAATATCGACTTCAAGCCTTGGATGTAACATAAGCTGTTAAAAACGAATCATCAGCTGATCGTCCAGTTCGAAATATCTCTTCAGCAGATACCCAAAATTCTCTACGACGTACTTCGTTGCTATCTCCTGCAGCCTTGCTGGACGAAGGGGGAGCTGAGATGCCGCAGATCGACGAAAGTGAGATGGTGATATAATTAATTGGTGAGCAGAGCCGAAGCAGCAATACAGTGTTTGTGGCATGCCGATAGTCGTTGCAATTATGGATGGTAATCATGAGTAGATGGATATCTTCTCTTGATTTAGTTTGTCTGAGTAGGGATGGAGGGGTCTTTGATTGAGTGATAGAATGTGGGTTTCATAGCGAATGGCGCGGTGGTTACAACCACCACGCCCTGTGAGAGAAGTTTGTGAAAGAGGAATTTTTTATGGTGCGAAGGGTTGGAACGACGGACCTGGAATTTGTTGGCGATTGCGATTGCTTACAATTTGATTCCAAGGGGTGGAGATTCTTGCTATCTGGAGTATGGAGTTTGTAGGACTTAAAAAGCGATACGAATGTGCATCGTCATATTGTTGTCTCATATTGATAGTGCTATGTCGTATTACACATATACAGATGCATGAACACATGGGCTATGTGCAATGAATCCAGATCTTGCCCCTTTGAATTGACGATTCTTGAACATACTTTCCAAATTACATTGTCGGATGAGAACCCTGGAATGATATTGCCTTTGTCAAGTGGTGGGACTTATACGATTTCTTGAATTACGCTTGCGACTTAATCGTTGTTCGAAAAGCCGGTGGTGATGAGGTTGTTAGTTCTTTTGACAGCGAGGCTTTGCCAGATTCATTGTTCGAGTTCGCTCTAAATTTGTCTTTGCAGAAATGAGAGAGTAAGAAACGGGATTCTGATACCTACTCACAGGTTATGGAACTTGTTACAGAATTCATAGCGTCATCGTATGATTATTATACGGTAAGAGTAAAAGTTCAATAAGCTCCGTGTTAAACACTTTCCTTCCCTTTTCTCCGGATATCTGATGTGTAAAGATGTGCTTGGGCGCCAGTGATGTGTCACTTGGGTGATCTACTTTTGGTGGTCACTTTAGTCGATGGGCTTTAGAGTGTAGCCTTGCTATCTCGACCTAGCAATTTGACATTTCATTTCATACGGAGCTGAATAGTGTGATCAGAGTGTTTGACAGTTCGAGCTGCGTCATAATAATCTGAGGTTCTGATTTGAACTTGATTGGGCGACTGGAAGTTTTCGGAGTTTGAGAGGTTTTCAAGAATTAAGATGTTCTCAAGCGTGTAGATAAACGGTCTTACATTCCATTTTCTGGGCCAAATCATTGCATATCCGAGCATAGTAGTCGTTTTTTAAACCATTCTTTGAACAAGCTTCTACAGAGCCGGCGATTCATGGTCAGTATGTGTGGGCGGTGATAGGTCTTGAATGGTTGACTTAAGTAAGTGGATCGATGTAGAGATTGTTAGGACAAGGGCTGAGGCCCGAGTATATATAGTACAGATACATTATAAGAGAATCATGTTGTACTAGAAGCAGGTACTATCTATCTGGCTTCATTAGATATAGAAAGTCGAACTTTTCAGCGTACTGTGAAGCCTTTTGAGAATGACATATTTAAATCCCGGAAGGCCATGTGGTGGATAAGTAACGCGTTGCGAATGAATATAGAATGATGAAGTCGAAAGGTAGGATTAGATCCAATGAACACCCAAATGAAAACCAACCCAGCAATGTCAATCTTCTTTGTACGTCACCAAACTATCAGGTTGCACATACATGTAAGTCGGAAAATAAATCCGGACAGCACTGCCAACTTGATACCCGAGTATATCGGTGACTTTACAGATGCAAAACTAGGGTATAATGAATTCCCCGGACTCTTGTCCAGGAACCGGTAGACAATTCCTGATCGCATTTACTGTTGGAAAGAACCATCGGTCTATCATCGTCTATCTGTCTGTCAACCTGGGACTGACTGAACTTCCCGAAGACTTTGAGGCGTACCTAACATGTACAGCTGCAACTAGTCAGAGACGGTAGGATCCACTCTCGAGCGGACCGGATCTCACTGCGGGGCTGTGAAATCATCCACTGCATTCCACTTTACTGCAAATATAATGTAAAAAATTGAGTTCCAAACACAAATCATCCAAGGCCGGATGGTGTAGTTGGTTATCACATTCCCTTTACAATACGCCTCTCAGAGACGTATCTGAAATCGGGAAAGGTCCTGGGATCGTGCCCCAGTCTGGTCATTCAATCTTTTTGCTTGTGGTGGTATGCAAATGAAGGGGGAATCTTTTTTTTTCGCTTACGAACAAAGATTTTTTGTGTGTGATCCGTGCCCACTCACCAAGAACTGGGTACTTTGAATAGGACAACAATAATCAAAGTCCCCATGCCGTACACAAACCCAACAGTTGGTATAATCATCGCCTCATCGATGTTCTTCGAAATTCCTCACTGCTTTTTTTTCTCTCAGGTCAAGCCAGTCGGCAGTCACAAAACCCCCCGCATGCATTTCCAGTTCCCGTCGCGGATTTTCTCCTTCTGAGCTGCGTAATACCAGGGTCCCAAGTCATTATCGCGCGCCACAAGGAATTGGGTACACACGGGGCCTAGCGGAGAACAACATGTGCGCTGACGTGCATGAGCCCACTTATCGGTTAATAGACGCTCCGTCACATTCCATATCCGTTAGGTCTCAAATTTCTTGAACATTCATATATACAATTCGACGTGTATCCGGAAAGGTTAATAAAGTGCCGGGACTCCAAGTGGTCAGGCTAGCAAATATATGATGTGGCACATAATTTCTTTAGAGTTTGCAGGGCTGTCAAAAATATATTTTCGAACAGGAATAGCGATTGTAGACTAGCTTTTGTGATACAATATCAACATCATACTTGCATGTCTCGATTTGTATCAAATTAGAGCAACGAATGCTATTAGCCGGTAAGCTATTCCGATAATGAGTAGCATGCTACTGATTTTTAGTCTGAGTAAGGTGCAAAAATAAAACTTGAATGACCTACCTCACATCGAGCCGAAGTTGGTTAATCGCACATCCAGTCCATAAAGCAGCATAATTAATATCATAAAGATACTTCAACGGGGTGGTATGACAATAAAATTAGGTTTCTGAAAGCCATGTTTCGCTCAAAGTTAGTAAAAGCTTAAGCACATGAAGTATATATTACCCCAGAACAATCTTTATAACCATTCCAGGTGCCATAATTTTATCGTGGACAGTGGAGCACCATAACCCCCGACGACCCCAATAATCAAACTAGCAATCATTGCCATTGGAAGTCCATTTTCTTGACCTATAACTACAAAAACACATGAAGCAAGGCCGTAAATACCTACATCATTAGCCATTATATATGCTACACAATGCTCGGAAGTACGAATAGTAGGAATCAAGAGTATTTACGGCCAGCAAACTTCTGAATGGAATTCTCGGTATTGCAAAAACACTACAAAATGACATAAAGTGTAAAGCAGATAATGCTAGCCGAAATACGGTTGACAAAATCTTTCCAGTGAAGTATGCAGAAAGAATGTGTTCTGAGCTCGAATCACGCCGAGAGACAGATTCTTTCGTGAATCAGTAAAATGGCATACTCAAAGAATGGAATTCTCACTTTCTTCACCAAAAGTTTTGACTTCAAGTGCATTGCTACAAGTCCCTCGTCAGTTAGCCTTCAACAAGTCAAGAATAGCACAATTAAAATTCAACGCTCAAGGATGTTTGAAGTAACAAAAGAGGCTAAATTAGAGATACTGTAAGGTTCTAAAATTCATGGAATAGAGGAACATACCAATGGCGAGGAAGGGCAGTAAACCAGGTTGCGGGACCAAAATATAATCGGTAGCACTTGAGAGTAGTTGGAATAGAAGATGAAATATTCTCTGAAGAAATAACCCATCAATTCTATACACAGAAAATTATATTGAAAGCCCAGCAACAGCTAGTATTTCCTATCATCATCACTGCCTTTTTAGAACTTGCAAGTGTCAACTTTTCCCTCGTATGTTTGAGATGACTTTTTTGGACAGACGATTCAAGTATAAAGATCATAGTCAAAGAAACGTCAATGAAACCTATTGGGAATATTCCGAGGAATGGAAACGTCTGTGGACGTTTTGGGTGACATGAAGAGAGTACATCGCCTTGGATGAGCTTGAAAGATTTAAGAAAACAGTAATTACCCGGAGAGCATATAATCTGCTCTCGACCCCCATCAGGGCAGTAACATCCTGACTTACAGACCCTGACTTTGCTGGCAAGTATTCCACAAAGTTTCCAGATGTGTAATCTCGCTTTTTAGCGTTGGAGGACAGCACTAAAGCGGAATCTGATCCGTGTTATCTGGACCTGTGTAGTTAAAGAGAGAGAGTAGTTTTCAAGCACACTGAGACTTACAAAAGAAGCCAAGATTGCAAGAATTGTTATTGCTCAAAGCAACAGGTGTAACTCCGGTAAGACATGTGTACTGGATTGAAAATCATGGCTAGACTAATCTCAGGTCTGAGACTAAAGGCCAATACCATAGCTCGTAAACTGAGGAATGAACGAACGATGATGACGAGTGTGCCGGCATATAGAGTTGGAGCTAAAGCACGGAGGTACAGGAACGAATATGGTAATCATACTCGTAGGATTCGAAATTTCGGGCTGACAAGCACGGAATACCACCCTCTCCTTAACGTAAATTAATACAAACCCCCATGCTAATGGCGTTAAAAGTAGCATTGTGACAGGGCTTGTCGCCAGCGCTTACATGTACCAGGCACAAATATGAGGTTCTGAACAACGTCTTGCCCGAGTATTGCGGGACCAAATTATAAATGTACATAATGTCTTAATATTACCAAAGAAATCAAAACTTCTTCAGAAGCTGATCGAGAAAAATGGCCGCTCCCCAAGAAAAGCATATTCATGATATCAACGGATCTTGGTTACTTGTAAGTTGGCGACGATCTAATCACTCACATCAAAAGTTGCGTGTTTGTGCTGACTAAGTATTTCTTGGCCCTTTCTCAGAACAAACGCCTCTCAGACTCACTGAAACATGTTCTCCGACTCCAGAATGTAAATTGGTTTATACGGCGCGCGATATCTTTTGCAGATGTAACTATACATGCAACTCAATCAAAAGGTGAAAATGGGCTGGTCACAATCATGATGGATCATGTTGCGGGCGTGGGACTTGCGCTCACCACCGAGATGAGGCGATTAAATTGGGCTACGCGAGAACACAAAGATTTCATATGGGGCAACATACGGACACGAAGCAGATATATCCCCACTGCAAATATAGAAGAAGGGGAGAAGTTCCTGCAATCGGGATGGTTAGAGGAGACGGTTTCGGGTGATTGCATACAAGATAAAACTGAATCCTCGACTGGTTCTTGGACAAGTGTTACAGTAATTCTCCTCATTTCGCTGCTTAGTAAGGGGAATCATGACTGACTTGACCTACCACAGGTATGGGGGTTTGAACAGATCAAAGGCGAGCGAAGGTTGTCACGGCACATTCTTGTTCGAAAGGGATATGAGATTGCAACGGCTAGACTAGTCTATGACTATATAGGCCCTATAAACCACGTGCAGTAAATTCTAAGATGGATATGCCACTGATGAATTTACGGTACTGGAAGTCTCGGGTATTTCTTCACGGTGCTCACGGCGTATGGTCTCGGAAAGGATACGAGAAATAAGGTGCAGCCGGAACTGTCATCAAGTTCTCGATATCCGACATCAATACAATGACATTGTCCGTCATCGGAAGTAGAGTGTTGGGCTTCTTCGATGATCTAAAGGAATTCAATTCATGTAAAATAGCATAGCAGATTTTTAATGATTCACACTTTTATGACCATATCTAATATTGTCAGACGCCAATGCAATCTCAAATAATGTGACTGTCAAAACCACCAAAAAGTGACGTCTAATCTTACATATGCAGCTTATACATGTCAGAATCCCATTGCGACATGCATAATTCTACGCCGCTAAGCAGGGAATCAAAACCCTGTACTTCGCAAGACGCCAGGGGAGAGCTCGTTTTTTAAAAAAACATCTTGTGTAGCATTTTCTGCCCTACACTAGGAGCAATCTTCACTGGGTACTGGTTATACATACATGCTTCAACATACATGCCTCACTCACTCGGCCATGTCTTATCATAAATCCAAAATCAAATTCATTACTGCATCAATTGATTACTTTATGATTCTAGAATCATGACATAATGTAAGCAGAGAAGATATTAAAGATGACCATTGGATTATGGTAAACTTGGATAACCTATTATTGAATTGATGAATTACAGACTTACATAAACTTTGCACTCGCATGCGTATTGATATCTAAAGCCGCACATCGAAACTCTACAGAAGGCCCATCTCCCTCCGAAGAGGAAGCCTTTTAGATCCTTTCCACACGCCTTGTCCTTTAATACACCAAACACCCTATAGAAATAAACCGCCTAAAGACTGGCATTGCCACTCTCCAAATCCCCATCCTTCTTAGAAAACTCAACATGAGCCTTCGTCCCCTTTCTAGTAATATGCGTACTCTGCGCCTTCAAAATCTCCATGATCGCCACTCCGGGGTCTTCATCATCTACATTACTTGTCACACCGGTTGCGTTTCTGGCCTGGACCCTGAAATAAACCCTCTTGGCCCACTTCCAAGACTCTATTCCCACAAAGAACAAGAAAGACTCAACAAATACAATTCCCCATTCCCAGCTAATACCCTCGTGTTTGAATACCTTTCGGTTAATCACAGGGATATAAAGCGTGGGAAACACGGTTGCGAATCCAGCCACGACAGCCCAGAACAAGAGTTTGTTTGCCCAAATATCGTGGATCCATTGGGTGAAGTACTTTTTGCTTCCAGGTTGCATGCGGAAGAAGGATCTTCGCATATTGATCATTTCCCAAGCGAGGAAGAGAGAGAACCAGGTTAAACAGACGAATGTAGTTGCTCGAGCTCGGAAAACGGTATCGCATTGATCGGAATAACGATCATTGCATTCGAAACCGAGATCACCGTTACCCCAACCGAAGAGAACGAGGGAAAAAGCGGAGAGACAGAGAGCTGCCATCCAGAGGCCGTAGACTACCATGTCGATCATTATTTCTAAAGTGAATATACCGTTCTGAGGTGGTCGATTCATGATATCCGGTGCGGCGGCCTCGAAACCAAGACCCATGTCTGGCATACCTGAATTTTATTGTGTTAGTAAACGACTCTTGATATGTTCTTGGCGAGATCTTACCTGATGTGATCATAATGACCCATAGAATCTCTACGGGTGCCAGTGGAAACACTGAAGTTCTCATATTATCCTTGAAAGCGAGACCAATGAGAAGTGTGCAAGCTTGAGCGATATTCTGCGCCAGCAAATGTAATATGAATTTTTGAATATTGTCAGACATTCTTCTCCCTTCTTCAACAGCATTAAGGATCGAAGCAAAATTGTCGTCCGTAAGGATGATATCCGATGCATCCTTAGCTACATCCGACCCTGCTTGACCCATTGCAATACCAACATCTGCTCTCTTCAAGGAAGGAGAATCGTTGACACCATCACCTGTCATAGCAGCAAACTTCCCTTTTCTGTGAAGAGCTTCAATCATCCTAACTTTTGTCTGGGGTGAGCAACGTGCTATTACCAGAGGTAGCATTGGGAGGGCATCAATTTCTCCATCACTGAGCCTGTCGAAGTCGCTTGCTTTCATAACCATCGCATTCATGACAGCTTCTCCTATTGTAGAAGAACTTTGGGGCAAGATTCCTACCTGTCCTGCAATAGCACGAGCTGTTTCTGGATGGTCGCCAGTGAGCATGTGAACCTTGATACCAGCCTGGTGACATTTTTGCACCGACTCCAACGATTCCACTCGTGGAGGGTCATAAATTCCAATCAGTCCATGAAATATTAAATCTTTCTCTACATCTGCGCGATCATGCTTAGCATTGATTCCGGTATAATGGTCCCATGGTTTACCAGCCAAAGCTAAAACGCGGAGCCCGTCGGCGGCAATGGCTTCCATGTTGTTCAGAATGTCTTCGCGCATTCCTTCGTCCATTGCTACGACTTCTCCGTCTCGCGTTGTCATTTGTGAACATGATGATAGAATCCGCTCGACTGCGCCCTTTGTGAAAACCTGTGCGCTATCAGATTGTTCATGTTTGAAGATAACCGACATTTTTTTGACATCAGAATCGAAAGGAAATTCGGCGATTTGTTTCCATTGAGGCGCGTCTCCGGACGTCCATCGTTCCCTATTCCAGTTGAATCTAGAAGCAAAGACTTGAATTGCAATCTCCGTTGGGTCGCCTCTTGCTTTCCACTCGTTACCATTTTTATGAACATGCGCAAGATTTGCCATTGAAGCAATATTGAGGAAGGCTTGGAGATCGGGGTTGTTTTGTAGAAGATTTGAGAAGGAATCCGCTTTTTCTTCATCCTTTTCATTGCGCGCTTGATACGGAGGCTTTTTGCTGTAAAATATATCTCCATCTTCGGGGTCGAGTGCTTGACCGGAATCGCCAACCGAGTAAGTCCCCTTAGCGGGCAGCCATACCTTTTTCGCTATCATCTTGCCTTGGGTAAGAGTTCCAGTTTTATCCGAGCAAATGTCTGCAAAAGTCAACCATCGAGCATTGTTACGAGAAAAGAAAGGATCTTACCAGTAACGGCGCCTAGTGCTTCCAGGGCATTCATTTTGCGAACAACAACATGTTTTTCGTACATTACGTTAGCTCCTGCAGCCATAGTGATAGTCAAGACTACTATCAGCGAAGCCGGAATCATCGAAAGTCCTGTGGCTACAGCGTAAATGATGACTTCCTGGTTATTGGAAAATCCATTCGCAGCTAACACGATAATTGCACAGATAACGGCGACGACAAATAGCCCACAAGCGAGTTGGGCCAGCATCCTTTGCAATGGAGTACCGACATTCGTGCCAAGAAAATTGCCGATATAATCAAACACGGTAAGAAGCCCAGCCTGGGCATATCTGTGCGGCAAAGCTCTGCCATCCTCATTACGTTTGACCACGCGGACTTTACGCCTCTGCTGTCGAAGACTCACGGCAATTGATCCAACTTGTGATTTCATGCCCACTGCAAATATAATGCCGCGTGCTCGACCTTTAGTGACAGTAGTGGAGCTGAAAGCAACATTAAGACGATCACCCGCGCTGGCATTCTCAGGAAAAATTGCATCTGAATTCTTTTCAATGGGTAGCGATTCTCCTGTCAATATCATCTCATCGGTTTCAAAGTTCATACTTTCAACTAATCTGCATACGGTCTGTTAGCATATACTAAGGACGAAGGGGGTGTTACGGGCAAGTACCGCATATCTCCCGGAATTGTGTCACCGGTTTTGACCTCAACCATGTCACCAATAGTAATCGTAACGGTAGCTACTGATCGAATTCCCCCTTCTCTCACAGCATATGCCGTAGGCGAACTCAAGGAACGTAAAGAATCCATAGTCCTTTCCGCCTTGAACTCATTGTAAAAGCCAATCGCAATGTTGAGAAATATGACTGCCGAGATGACACCACCTTCAATGTATGAGCCGATACCGAAACTCACGGCCATGGCCAATATTAGGATCTAAAAACAAATCTGGGTGAGTAAAGGAAACGTGACTGTATGGATAGGAGTAAACAAACCAAGATCATTGCATTGCAAATTTGATGAATAAGAATCTGTACTGGTTGAACACCAGGTCCTTCATCAAGTTCATTTTTTCCATACAGTTCAAGACGTCTTGCTGCTTCAACCTCTGTGAGTCCATCCTCAAGATTTGCTTCCAATTCATGTGCAACCTGCACGTACTCTAAGGCATGAGCTGGCTTAGACAAAGGCTTGTTTGACTGTCCTGAAACTTCTTCGACGATATTAACTCTAGCCATGTCGTATTATATGATGGAGTAATGATAGGATGTGTCGAAATGAATATGAGATCATACAGGGCGAAATTGACCTGAAAGATATAGATAGAAACGTTGTTGGAAGGATATGGCAATATGTCTATTGAGAAAATAACTTTCACATTTGGGGAAATATGGTCTTCATATATAGTACAAATGTATCGTAATTGGCAAGGATTCCAACCCATACTTATCTATAGACTACAGTGACCAAGAGGTTAGATCTTGGTAGCACAAGGTTAATTCTAAAGGGCATGTATAAGGGTACCCCGCGACTGCGAATGAAAATATCATCATTGGATTCCGTATATTCTTATCTCTATAAAATGGCACCAAGCTAAGAAACAAATGGCTCCGCCACTAGAGCGTTGATGAAATGTTCTATTTCTTGGAGCCAAGCAAAAGTAGAAAGGCCAAGGTGGCAAGAGGGAAGAACAAGTCGCAGTCCATTGCCATTCACTTGATAGACAATAGAAATCAACCGAGAAAAAAATACTAAGACTCGGGGTTTGAACACAACTCTACAGACAATCGAGATTCGATGCGGCACTTCAGGTTGTTGATGGGTTGTAGTATTCGAGGTTGAAATAAAGTTCAACGATCTCGAAGGCGTCGCTTATTGCTGACTAATATCAGCAAGTCAAGCCTACTAAATACTGCCTAGAACATGTTAAGATAGCACCATATCTTGGAGTTACTTGGCCTACAAATTTAGTGGTCAATGTCTGGAAGAAGTTTCCAACCTATGACATATTAGTACTTAGGACCAATCGGGATTTTCAAAAACACCACATGGTCTGCAGGATACACAAAGCATGACTCTTGGCTCTCCTAACATCAACACTATAACGTGATCGGTCGCGTGACCTACTAAACTACATCGGCGTCATTGTTAATGAGCTCAATGCCTAGATAGGAACTAGATAACGAGAGGCAAAAATATTATCCGACAACCGGTCCTGTTCATACAATCGTTGAGTTCCTGTCGGACCCCTCCTCCTTTTTCGGAATTCCTCCCCATAACCTAGTACTGGTATCTCACACATTTTTCTCCATCTCCCCGCTCTCTTCTCCAGAATACTACTTCTTATTTTCCCTACCATGACCTCACCCAACTGTTTCAAGAGCCCGGACCCCAAGAGAGTAGAAGCTAAAGTTTACTATCACCATTAAGCTCCTCATACTACCTCAGTTCTGCTTAGACGATCTAGTGGCACAATTCTCACGATTTCCAAGACTCAAGGACGAAACTTCTCCAAGATTGGACCATGATTCTACCTACTGCCTACTCTTGCCCTTCGTATCTGCTTGGCATTGGTTGAAGCGATAGTTTGAGACTATTCACCTCCTCAAATTGCCCTTGACTTTTTGTTCCTGCTTTCCCAGTTTCCTACACACCCCGAGTGATCCATCTCTTCTACATCCCCGACACATTCCTCAAACCCCCAGACCGATGATTCGAGTCACGATGATGGAAACCAATTTATCATTAGGTATATAATCTCATCCTACTCAATTAATAAGTATATCAACATCAACATCAACATCATACCTCACCTATCCCTAACCACTGCACAATTCCTGCAATTCATATCCAAATTTAAGGACATCTAACCATCCAGATGCTGCCCTCTCCTTTCTCCTTTCTTCCAACATCCACGCGATTGTCCTTGGAACGAGGACCTTCATGTTTTACCTAGTATTACAATCATCATCTTCTCGAGCTGCATGTACATACATCTTTAATACATTCCATCGACCCAAAAATGGATGGGGCCGTGAGATCCTAGTGACGTAAATCTATGCTAGAATCTACCATAGCAAAGCTCCCATCAATGAATATCACATCACAAGCCATTCATTCACATCAAGTAGCCAGATATTCAAAGTTCGCAATTGAAATATTCATAACCATCAATTCGTGTCCCTCCATCCTTCCCATCCACCCGTTGATTCATCCATTACTATCCTTCCTATATACATACACTGATCTTTCACTAGTTACTTCCTCCCTTGTATTTATCTCTTCATTCTCAATCCATTCCCCAGTCCCCCCCCTCCTTACTTTCAAGCATCCCCACATCCAACTTTCCAACCAATATTCCCTCCCCATATTTTCATTCTTCAAGCAATTTCCAATGAGAAATTTTGAAAGCCAGGCTAAAACCAGAACCACCCTATTCAACGAAAACGAAAATACTTTTGAATTGTTTCGCTTTTCCGCCCATGATGCATACCAGCAGGAAAAAAAGACGCCCAGATATCAACTATGAGATACCCTCATTTATGTAAAAAGTTGTAGTAAAAAGTTATTTATGTAAAGAAAAGAGTTACACGAAGAGAAACAAGGTATTTATCCATGTAACCCACATGTTCTCTCTTTCATCATCTTTCTTCTTTCTTTGTCTTTCACTGTCGATATTATTAGTATAGGCTCAATTTGTAGCGAGATCAATAGGGATTGGGGTAAAATAAGGAGCACAAACCTGGATCGTAGACTAAGAAGTCATGTAAAGCATTTCCGGCTGGTACCATTGGTAAGACTGGTACCTTCTTGTCGGTAACAACCTCTAAGAGTGCTGGTCCATCACTATCAATCAACCATTTCAAAGAATCTCTTACGTCATCTGGCTTGATACATCTTCTGTGTTGTACACCCATTGCATCTGCCAATTTCATGAAATCTGGGTTGACACTGTGAGTATGAGCGTATCTGTCCTGATAGAAGATGTTTTGCCATTGAGTGACCATTCCCTGCTCTTCGTTGTTAAGGACAATGACCTTGACGCCGATGTTGAATTGAGCTGCAGTGGAGAGCTCAGTAAGTGTCATGTTGAACGATGCATCTCCATCGATATCGATGACAAGAGCATCGGGTTTGGCGACCTTTGCACCGATAGCCGCTGGAAGACCGTAACCCATGGTACCAAGACCACCAGATGTGATCATAGTTCTTGGATATCTCCATCTGAAATGTTGTGCAGTCCACATTTGATGTTGGCCGACACCTGTAGCGATGATGGTCTCTTGTTTTCTATCAGCGGTCAAATTTGAGAGTTCCTCGATCAAAGTTTGTGGCTTGATAAGACCATCACGTTCGGCCTTTTCGTAGTGAGAAAGAGGGAACTTCTCCTTCCAGAATCTAATTTGATCGAACCATTCTTTGCGTTCATCCATGGACTTTTTGTCAACGGCTGGAAGAAGTTGAGCAAGGTTGGTAACAACATCACCTTCAACAGCCTCGGTAGCCTGAACAACCTTGTTGATGTTCTTTGGCATAATTTCAAAGTGAACAATGCCACCACGACCTTCAGCTGCTGCTGCCTTTGCTGCTGGAGCAAACTTTGGAATGCTTCCAGTCACACGATCATCGAAACGTGCTCCAAGAGCAATGATGAGATCGGCTTCTTGCATGGAGAGGTTAGCGTATGCAGAACCGTGCATACCAAGCATATGTAAAGACTTCTCATCAAGCTCGTCGAACCCACCAAGACCTTGGAGAGTTGTTGTGACAGGGATGGATGCCTTTTCAGCAAGCTCCTTGAGCAATCTGGGACCCTCTGGAGTAGAGATAACACCTTGACCAGCATAAATGATTGGCTTTTTGGCGATGTTGATCAATTTTGCAACACGTTCAATTGAACCTGCAAGTTGTTTCTTTTGAACAGCCTGGGCCGCTCTCGAGGCTTGACTGGGTAAAGATGGCATAATGTGGTGGGAAGGGATGGCCTTTCGTAGAATACCAGCTGTGACATCCTTTGGTAAATCTACCAAAACTGGCCCAGGTCTTCCAGAAGTAGCGATTTCGAAAGCCTCCTTGATTCTTCTTGGGAGCTCGGCAATATTCTTGACCATAACGTTCCATTTTGTGCAAGCTCTCGAGATACCAATGATATCGGCCTCTTGGAAAGCATCACTTCCAATAGCAGTTGTAACGACTTGTCCGGTGAAAACAACCATTGGTGTTCCATCAGATAAAGCGTCCTGCATTGGAGTGATAACGTTGGTAGCACCAGGTCCAGATGTAACGAGAACAACACCAGGTTTACCACAAGCTCTGGCATACCCTTCCGCCATATGTCCAGCACCTTGTTCATGTTTTGGCAAGATAAATTCGAAGTGTTTTGAGTTGTAAATCGCATCGAAAACTGGTAAAATCGCTCCTCCTGCGTAACCGACTATCTCTCCATTAGCTCGAATCCTTGAGAAGTTAGGATACAAAACTCACAGATGTGTTTGACATCTTGCCGTAACATCATTTCATGGAAGATCTCTCCACCAGTCATGCCGATAAATCTATGCCATTATTAGGACCTTCTTGTGCCACCTCGCTGAAAATGGGTATAACATACGACTCATCCATCTCCGAGTATTTTTGTCCCTGCCCTGCCAATTCCTTGCCTGAATCCTTTTTCGAAGATGTGGTATTAAATGCTGGACTTGGACTTTCTCTAACTTGACTATATTCACATGTCAGTCAACTGTCTTCCATCCCAAAGTGACTCACCCCCAATTTTTGGATTGAGAGTGAAATCCGAACCCGCAGAAAACATCCATAGATGTAAACGAAAGAGAAAGTCATACCTAGCAGCTTGAGGAGCAGCAGTAGCTTGCGCCCTCGTACCCTTCTTCTCAACCATAATACCGCCCGCCGCCTTCACCCGGTTCGACAAACCCCTAGCACCAGCGACATCCATCCATTTCGCATTGCTACCAATTGTGCGAATAGCACGCCTAGCGGGTATTGAACGAAGCATCTTGACTTCTGTTCAATTTCAGGGCGGAGTTTCTGTAGATATGTTCCGATATCGAACCTCAAGAGGCAAAGGAATAAAGAGAAGAAATGAAAGTAATTACAATGGCTCAACTCAATCCGGAAGAAGAAATTGAGTATTTCTCAATTGAATCTTGCTCAGAGGAAGAGAGGTAATTGTCGCAAAAACTCTATGAGTAAGTAAGAGTTTGGAGGAAAGTTGAGAAAATATGACTTTAGAGTTGTGATTCACACCCTCCAACAATATTTATTGGAACCCTCAGTCCGCCCTTTTCCTAATTTTCTAGCGGTATCGGGGGCAAAATGTGGGGTAGCGAGTGGAAAGTTCTTTTTAGTCTTTTGGTCGATTTGATTGGTTGGGGAAGTGAAGAGTGCATAAATTGTGCATAAAGAGGCACTCCAATCAACAATCATCTTTTACTGTTTTATGATTTTTTATGACTTTCAATGTTCTAGATTGGGTGGATAAATCCAAGTGATGATGTTAATGCATCCAAAACGAGAGCCTACATATATTGCAACAGTTATTCTTGTCAACTAGGCTTGCTTTGCTTTCTAGGGGTGAGAAGTAATGAAATGTGTGAATTAATATTGGAAGTCTGCATTCGCCTTGTCCAATTCTATCCCGCAAAATCAATAAGGATATCAGACCTTAATCACAATTTAAAGTCCCCATTAACTTTCTCCCATCCTCTTACTACTCCCTCATTCTCCCCTATATCCACCATCCCAGCAACCTTCTCAGCCAACGCAACCTTCAACGTTTTTGATCTCTCTGTGCATAATTCATAGATAGTACTCAGGTTGAATGTTAAAGCGTGGAAAGAATTGTCTTCTGCAATGAGTGACTCGAGAATAGTTCTTGCCTGTTGGTCGAATTGTGAGTATGTGTGATGTAGCGGGCTCCATAGTGGAAGAAGTGGTGATCGTAGCAGGAAAAAAAGGTATTGGGGGAAGGGAATGATCCATACCTCATCACCACGACCCAAGTACAATAATGTGACACCAAGGTTTTGCCTCCACATAGCTTTTTCTCCTTTTCCAGCCATAGTTTCCTCGTTGGCAATGAGCTCTTCCCAGATGACAACTGCTTCCTCATATTTTCCTTCAGCAACAAAAGCAAGAGCTCTGATTGTTCCATCTATTTCATTCGCCTTGAATTCTCCTCCATTCGCCTTCTTCAGACACTCCCTTGCAGCATCAATGTCCCCCAAACATAACCAGAGTAATGCTTTTTTAGCCCTTAAGTCCTCATCTCCCTCTTCATTGACCTTCAAAGTCTTCAAATGCATCCCCGCTCCTACTAAATCTTCCATCTCAATCAGGGCACTCGCAACTCTGATACCCAAATCTGCCAATCTGCTTTCCCATAACACGATCTCACCATCTAAGACATCACCAGCTGCCTTACGTTTCTTTAATTTTGTCAACATACTTCTAGCATCTCTAGCTAGATCATAGTATCCCATAACACCTCTTCTCGCATCCCCTAATCCCATGCCTTGCAATCGAACTGCCAAAACCCTCAGCTCCCATCCTACCATATGAGTATCCGTTTCATCATCTCGATAGTAAGCAGCATTAAGGTCTTCGAGAGCTTTAACTTCTTGAGCCGCAAGTTGTGTCTGATTACAGAGCGTAAGACATGCTAGACGGATATAGAAGAGGTTGAAAATCTCATCATGTGATGAGGGTCCAGGATTCGATGTTAATAGCGTAGCACTCAAAATAGCCGCAGCTCGAAAATAACCCGCTGCCAGGAGTGACGAAAGAGTATTGACATCAGGGTTAGGTGGGAGTGATGAAGCTGGGGAAGAACGAAATGGTGGTGGAATTTCAAGAACGGGTAGAGGATGATAGATTTCTGGGCGTAAGAGATATGTAAAGTCTTTCTGAAGTGTTGAGACTGTTGATTGAAATGATGTGTTTTGTGATGGCGAGAGCGATGTGGGAGCTGTCATGAAAGTGTTGGTTGATAAATTCGAACCGGGACTCGGTGACGGAAGCCTAGGTGTTCGGCTTCTTGGTGCCGGGCCGCCTGGTGAAAGTGTTCGTGTTTGTGTGGCATTAATGTAATTTGTAGGCGACAAGGGACTATTCAGAGGTGAACTATCTAAACTTAGTACTTGTTCTTTCTTATACATGGGAGTGATACGCACTCGTTGATATCTAACGGGCCTCTTGTCGGTCGTCTGGGTAAAGCTGCTATGCGATTAGCCAAGTGCTGCTTGTTTCGATCCATTATTCAGTTGTTGTTCTGTGGATATAAATAAAATATCAAAGGTGTTTGGTTGCACACACAGATAACCTCTAAACAAGGCACCTTTCACGGGGAGCCACGTGCCAAGGTACCTCTACCGCATTCATGAAAGTCGCGCACTCGTGTGGCCTCCAAGATAACCAAAGATAGAAACGCGGTTCTCCAACTATCTCTGGATTCTTCTAGGTATAGCCACATCGTTTTATCCGAACTATTGACTGTGACTCTAGGAAGGTCTTCATGGTGAAGGAGGAGGTTGCTTCAAACACTGGCCCGTTGCATTACGACAAAGAAGAAATCTTACCTCTCCCCGAAGAAGCTTGCCTAACATGTTTTTTCCCTCCCGACCCGTCTGATGAAGTACCTTCCATTTTATGATCTGCTTTGATGATATCAGATATGAGGGAAGATGAGCGAATCAATCAACGTTCTAGGTTTATGCATTTCAATTGAGGTCTGCAACCGTGCACGTAGTTTTAGAGCCATTTTGCCCCTCTTTTTCCATCACCGACTTTGGAAAAGGACCTCATCATCTCCCTTATTGCTAAGGGATTTTTATGATTCGTTTATAAATTACCTAGGTAACTTACAAATTGTTCTTTCATTTCCTTTTTTTAACTGCTCTAGAGGCATTGTTGCTACACACGAACTTCCGCAAAGCTCCTCCCCTACTATATTACTTCCAGAACCATTATATATCCCTATGAGTATTGGACAAGAACTTATGCCACTTCACGCAACATGATCTTGATTTTATTGATTGTCCTTCGCACCTTTCAATAGGTAATGATACAATGTATGCACTCCTTTGATACTTCAATTTGGTCGCTGCGTCTTCTCGTTGTGTTACACGTGGTGAGGACTGTTTGCAGAACAGTTCCTGGGACCTATACCTCCATGGGAACAGCAATAGATCAGCCTATTTGATGGCATGGAAAGCGCACAGTCTGTTGCGATAGTGCTATTTTATTGTCAAGTGTCATCTTGTTCAAGTATTACGTCTACAAAGCATTGAAGAGTGTAGCAGCTTAGTTATGAAATGGAATACGTCTAGGGCGACTAATTTCTGTGCGTCAAATTCCAAATCACTTCCTAAAGACAGGTATGACCAAGTTGAATAACTATAAACCAAAAATACCTTTCCCATCACCTCATACACTTCAACAGGTCAACAACCTCCAGCTACTGGAACCAAGTACTTAGACAGGTGTGTGAAATACAGTTCACTTCGTTTCGCCACATTGTCAAGATCACTATCACTTTTCCTATATATCTACAGACTGATGCCCGATAATAATCAACCACTCCGAATGTATGTTTTGGAACTCCGAGCCTCCATCTCTACTAATCAGGTCAAGTGATTGTAAAGAGCCGTCCTGGAATCTATCAGACTAGTCTGGGATCACTTCGGAATTCCTTCGATAATGACCTACCTAGTAAGTAGACATACAATGCATTAGGTATAAGCCATCATTCACCTCACTTCCCCTTTTGTATAAATTATAATCGAACAAACACCTCACTCCTCATCGAGATATCTAGACTCTAGTAGACAATGTAAAAAAATCAAGTTTGATTTCAAATCCGACCATCAAATGACTTCTCAGGCTTATCTACACTTCTATGATTTCATCCTGTGAGACTCATTTCATCCATCACATAACGGCCATCGAAAATAAAATCTATAACAAAAATGGGAATACATTCTATGAAGGGTATTGGTACCGTAAGGCTTTTTATCATCTCTAATAGTTAACTTCCATCTAAGCAACATTTCCACCTTCAACAACGAATACTGCACTTCCGCTACCAGGTTTGCTAACCACAATTGCCGCTTCCCTCTGTTCCTTGGACAAATCCTTCTTGGAATAATATTCCTTCTCCCAAGCCTCTTTAACCGCATCGACCTTATTCGCAGGTACCAAATGTACACTGCATCCGCCCCATCCGGCGCCAGTTAATCTACTTCCATAACTACCTGCTTTCTTTGCTATTTCACAAAGCTCGTCTAGCTCGGGACAGCTACAGTCGAAGTCTTCTCTGCAGCTAGTTTGCGTTTCATTCATCAGATCACCAAGCTTTCGGTTGAAAGTTTCAGTGGAATCACCACCATCGGCATTGAGATAGGATTCGGGATGTTCGAGAACTTTCATAAACTTTAGAACTCGAAGGGCTTCGGTGAAAACGTGAAGGGTTCTTTGGCGAAGCTTGAAATGTTCAGCGCGGACGGGGAATGTGGAAGTGAAGCGCTCGTTCAACTCAGGGACTGTCATGTTTACGACGGATGCAATTTCTTCTCTAGTGTATCCCTCTTCTTTTGTAAATGTTTTCTTTGTGATTTCAATGAGTTCTGAAAGTTGTTCTTCGAGTGGTGCAGTGGAATCTCCAAGATATTTGCTGTGGAATCCGTGGAGAGAGACACCCAACGGTCCAGAGTCGGAAGGAAGGGGGTCTTTAGATTTGTTGATAGCTGCGTGAAGATAGGCAGCGGCAAGACTGCATTCTACGACTCTCAAGTTGTAGCATACTGGACCAGTGACATGCTTATCTGCTGCAACAAATGATTGTGCAATAACGAATGTGAGCTCGGAGTTTGTTTTTGGGAAGTGAACGGGCTTTGCAGTCAGGGTTGGATTGAAAGAGACATATAATGCTGAGCCGCGAATAGAGAAGACCGATGCAGATTGATCCATTCCGCCAGAGTTGACACCTACTGCTCTCTCACTGACAATTGCCAATTCTGTGAGTTGCGTCTTGTCAACAGATTGCTCACCATTAGCAAACATAACTGCAAGGGCAGAAGCTGTGGTGAAAGCAGCAGAACTACTCAATCCACCACCAGCAGGTACGGTTCCATCCATCAAAACTTCCATACTCTTGGGCTTGAAGCCGTCTCCATGTTTCTTTCTCAATAACTCTAAAGCGCCCCGGAGTCCAGACTTCAAGTAATTTGTCCACTCATGTACCTTGGAATCGATCTCTACTGCATCGAATGGTATATCGAATTCGTGTGCTGGGAACTTATCCGCTTGCACATTCGAAACTCGCACCTTGAATGTTGTACTAGTCGAAGCGGATTCATCGATTTGGGTGGAAACTGCGAGTAAGGCATCTGCAGTTATGGCCATAGGTAAGACAGAGTACAAAGAATAATCAATGTGCTCGCCGATGATGTTGACACGTCCTGGAGATCGTGAAACGAACTGCGCATCGTGTCCATAATTGCTCTTGAATTGCTTTAGAAGATTGTCCCATCTCTTGGTTTGTGCAGTCAAGGCATCTTCGGTGTAGATGTCTTTGAGAGACTTTGCGACAGGTACAATGCCAGCCATTATGAATGAAAGTTATCGAGAAGTAAGGGGTGTGCGGGTAGGATAGCTGTCGGTATGAATTGCTGCGAGTTTACGAGCTTGCGAGTCTGCGACTGTGTAGGTAGTAAATCTGCAAGGCCAAAGATAAATGCTCAAACAGGAAAAAAAATCGAGTTATAGAAAAGGACAACCACAAACCATCTGTCGGGGGATCATAGAGGGGCACGAGATCATAACATTCACCATCACATATCTAGTAGTACCATTTAGGGCAATACCTAGGTACAAGAGGAAGGACCCCGCCAAATTCCCCGCTGTGCCCCGAAGCCTTCTCCAGATTATTGGTGCGCCTCGTTCCGTCGTCCACTATTCATTTAGAGACGGAAAAACTTACCAGATTCCACTCGTATAAAGTGAATAAAAGCAAGCTTTAGAGTGGAACATCAATCTGGATGAAATTGTAACCTTACTTTAAGCCGCACATTCGGCTGGAACCGAGGAGAAAAGTTTGATAGGTGAGTGCGACCTAGGTACGAAGAAGATAAGTTGCCATTATTGAGTGAGTAAAGAAACATTTATATTGATGATGCTGGGTATTTATACGGTGACCGATGCGGTCCAACATGGCCAATCATATTTAAGTGCCTCGACTGCCCAGGCGACTATGATGAGCTGATGAAGGGGCTTACCCGATGGTTCAAAAAAATGCTGTATACTCACTGTTCAGTTTCCTTCATATTACATTATATATCAAGCCATATATCATAAATCTTCCCATATCTTATCCTTCAAAAAACCCATTTCATCTTGGATCATCCCCGTCCCATCTTTCCCTCCTCAAATTCTCATTCACCCCACTAACTAACCCCCACCACTCCATTTCTCATTTCTCATTTCCCAATTCCCCAGCTAGCCAAACCATCCGAATTCCCCAGACAAATCCGACCACACTCTCCGAACCTCCTTTCCCAATATTCTCGTCCTCTCGTGATCTGGAGAAAAGAAAACTAACATGAAGCAATCAAAGACTATTCAGTTATTGAGCCTGCATCTGTCAGAAGCACTTACTCGAGAACATAATCTAATCTTTAGATGTTGAAAATGTATCAATCTGATCGCCAAGTCTGAGAATCGGTGGGCATTCGACCTTAATGCTCTGCCATTTCCCAAACCATCCCTCCAGCCAACGCACCACCAATATGGCATCGCCACAATGGCCCTTTCGACCAAAATGAGCGATCCTCGTAGGAGCGGATAACTTCGGCATTTATAGACGTGCAACAAAAAAACGCAAGTATTGTTCTATTTGGTCCTTAAGGTTGCTATGCATGGCGAATAGCTATTTTAGGGATTGTTGGTTACCTCCCTTGTTGAAGAGTATGATGTATCTAAAGGACTCGGGGATTCTTTCTCGCATGGGAAATTCGACTGCAGTAAGTAATAACAATATTATATTTAGATCTATTTATGTTTTCATGAAAAGCTATATATGTGAAATTTGAATTATGTTTTAGTTTTCGATCCCTGATTTCTAGGTATCCAAAAGATATCCTAAACTCCTTCTTGATCTGTGTATGTCCATGTTGGTGAAGTAATATTTACATATACATTATGAAATCCTAAATCGTCGTTCGCATGATATACATTTTCTCTTGCAAAATTCCAATCGCGGTTAACCTGTCATCCCAAACGCCTATCGGCGCCGATTATATGCCCGATTATTGAGGGTATATCATGTAGTAAAAAATGGAAGCTCTGACTCCTACCTCTCCATCAAATTAATGTCTGATTTCTGTTCCTCCTGCACTGTGGCTTTTTCTCGCTTGTCTCCAATTTAAGACCAGAACTTCATCTCCACCTCCTTGAAGTCCCTTTTTCAAATACACCTGTCGAATCACATGTGTATCGACCAAAACGCTGTCCAGAAATTTCCAGCTAATCTTCTGTGCCTCGTTCAATTCTGGCCGTATTGGTGACAGACTATGTTCAACATCGAGATTCTTGTCATCCCAAGTCACTTCTGTTCTCCTCAAGTCGACACTTCCATCAATAATTGTCGAGTTATCTAAGTCGCTCTTTGCCCCTCGCTCTAACGACCCCTTGGGATATTTCGCGATGCTAAACCCATTGGTAAGGACGATATCGTTATCAAATTGCCAACGCTGTAGGAAGCACTCGTCACACACATCTGATACTAGATGCATCTTATCCATCTCATAGGGATATTTGGTCGCCGATCCTGCTTTCCAATGATGTAAAGATAATACCTTTCTTCCATTCTCATAGAATCCAGAATGATCTCCTATGAAATCGATTTGCGAAAGTCCAGCTACTGTTGTAAGTTGAGCTTTAGAATGTTGATATATACAGTCCATCACCAGTGTATCCCCGGAAGTAAATCGCATGTTATTTTTACACTCCTCATTGTTCTCATGAATAATCTTTGCCAGTGGCGTGGAGAGAAAGACGCCGGCCCCTCCAAATGCCATCAGTCCGTACATTCTCACCGCTGCCCAATTCTCGGACAATCCGCCGATGTATTGAGGCTGCGTGTGGTCGTGAAGAGCAAGCTCGTCTAGTAGCCCACGCATAGAAGGGAAGAATGTGTCGTCGTCCATAAGCACAGTCCATTTTGTTTTCTTATTGCGAGCCTTGTACATCAGATCTATCAGGGAAAAATATCGTTGATTGAAAAAGTCCTCTTTCTTGACGGGTGGTATTATTGTGATGTCCATGCCTGCTTTGCGATATTCTTTCTGGAGTCGAGCCATTTCAGATTTAGATGCCAACACCTCTTCGCTTTCTTTGACTATTGCGATCAAACGAGCTCCACTGTTGGGCAGCCATCGTGCTAGGTGCATCTTCGTGTCCCGAAGACGCTTTATTGTGGTCTGCAGACCGAATATCATATGCGAAGCGTCGATTTTCCGAATTGGAGGATAAGGAACTTCAAGAGTGAGTGGGGAACAATGATCGATGGTTCTATCGATAGAAAGCTCTGCGCGCTCGAAGATTTCTGGGCTGTCGAACAAAGACGCTTTCATCACAGTGACTGACGGTCTTTCTCCATGATTAGGTTTTGCGATAATATCTCGCTGGGCAACTTTCAGAGGGTATGATAAGTTGTACCTTCTCAACCACTCAAAATTTTCTGTGACATTACAATCAAATGGCGAATTGATTCCGGCTAAATCAACTGTCCAATCCTCCTCGGCCAATTCGTATCCAAACCCATCTCCAAGTATCGCTGGTGATCCAAAATATGATGTCACATTAGGTGTACCATGGCGGGCAAACAATATTAGTGCGGGAACGATTATCGAGGAGGCAGCCAAAAGAATAGCCAAGCGGATGGTTTTCCTGGATTTCATGGCTTGATTGACTGAGAATAAGTGCAAAGAGAGCAACGAAAAACCCCAGAGCGAAGGAAAACAATATACAAAAGAAAGAGTGGGCAAGAAATGAATGAGAATCAAGTAAAAGCTAGGTAAAAGCTAAAATCTCCACTAAGGCGATAGTAGATAGACTTGCAACCTTATCAACAATATATTTGGGGTAGATAAGGAAAAAAGATCTCGAGGGGCGTGGTGGTGGTGTGGCACACCTGCCAACATCCCAGAATGAGAGAAATTACAAGAAATTTCCAACCGATCTCCTACTCATTAAGACAGTTTGAGATAATCTTTGCAAACAGTTGGCAACGGTATCATGTGCGCCATAACACTGGAAGAAAATGCTACCGGTTGATGCCTATCAGTTACGGTAGCACATAAACACGATGGAACGTTTTCAACATCAATAAATCATGGTACACCGGTACATTTCACTTGAAAAGATCTCGATTCGAGGTGACCCTGTGAGCCTGCCTTGTTCTCATTTCACATTGGTGCTCCCGGTATTACCAAATTCATACACATACCGAGAAAGAGGACTTTACTGGTTCGCATTGATTAAAGATCCACCATGAAATTTCGAAATGCCTACCTACCTAGTAACTTTGGAGCTATAGTCAATAAAGATCTAAGCGATACTCTAGAGTGAGCCTCCCCCTGTTCTCTTTGATGAACCATATTATGCGTAGAAATAAGGAAGAGGCATAACGAATGTCAAATGTTATATTGATGGCTCTGAATATGATGTAAGAAGAATGAAAAAAAGTAAGATTGTAGTGAATAAAACGTGAAGTTGAATACGAGATAGCTAGCTAGTATATATACTCCGTAAAGAATATGCCGGCTCGCCGGGTGAGATCCTTCGGCTTTTGAACCTCCGAGACATATCAGAGAAAGGAAGGAAGGGGGTCTGGCCTTCTTATCTCATCGAATTGGTCTGAAGCGACAAGGCTGAGAATCTATTGTGGCTAGTAAAGGTCTACATGTGTGGCGTCATCAACAAACCGAGGATGCATCTTCATGCAACAGGAAGGCTACCTAATTTCACTCATTGTCACACAAACTTCTTTCCTCAGTACCGACACCTACGTTGATAGTATTCTTTAAGAATTTTCCGTTCATTTTTTGTCCCAGCAATGCGATAATACCCGTCCGTCTACTTTCCTTAATCACTGCGATCAGTAACTATTCCCGAATGTCCAAGATGGAATCAGCATATCCCAACCCCAGTCTTCAAAAGACGCAAGATAGAGGTGACCCAGAATGTCCTGAGCAATCGAGCCAGGAGTCTGTGGCAGCTCCAACGACCGCTAGCAATTCTCCTGAAACTCCCATGCCTATAGTCGAAGAATCAAACGAAGCTCATATATTAAATCAACCTCAATCTAACAACTCTACCCAGTCCAGCGATGCACGAGAAGATAAAGTGCCTTCTCCGGAGAGGGAAATACAGACCTGTTGGATATGCCAAATGGATGATACTGACGATGGGCCTCAAGCTTCACCGTGGCGATCACCGTGTCCTTGTTCTTTGCGAGCACACGAATCGTGTTTAATGGAATGGATTGCAGTATCTGCAGACAAGGAAATGGCACCCAAGATTGTCTGTCCAGTCTGCAAGTATCAACTCAAAATAGACCAGCCTAAAGATTATCTCGTCTTGACGGTCGACAAACTGCGACGTATGGCGGAGACAATGGTACTTCCTACGGCCGCCGGCGCATTGTTCAGTTGCTTTTACTCTGGATCTCTTCTGTTTGGCGTTAACAGCCTGGCGTTGGTATTTGGCGCAGATGAAGCCCGCGAGATGATTTTGACGCATTACGACGACTTCATAGATCGTCCTGTTCTTGGTGGTAGCATACACTTACCCATGAGACAGATGTTAACGAAATATTTATTTCCATTTCTCGGAGGTGGGTTCATGGCTGTACCAAGTTGGAGGGCAACAATAGGACTACCATTAATTGCACCAACCCTCCTATTATCACGGACAAGAATTGCGGATTCAGTTTTCAGTATAGTACCTGTTACTGTAGGTTAAGAATTCTTAGTTGCATTTAATGGGCAAAGTATGATTGAAGTCTCCGTTTGCTAACATGGCTCAAGTACTTTCTCTTTAGCCCCGATAGCAAGAGCATCACTTCTTGGCCTCCATCCCCGGGTCGCGCGTTCGTACTTGTTCCCTATGTCAGATTGGCATACAATACCCTCTACCGTCACATGTTTTCCGACTTGGAAAAGAAATGGGATTTGGCTGTTCAGCGTAAACCACGAGAAGGCGAAACTGCAGAACAAATCGCTGCGGAACAACGTAGAGGAGGAGAAGGCGATGGATTCTTAGCATTGGAAATGGAAATGGAGATCATTGATGAAGTTATGGACGAAGACGGAAACTTGGTTCCCCAAGATGGTGCACCTCTGGGTGATCGCAACCAGAATCAAAATGGCAATCAAGGTGGCCGACAAGGCGAAAACGGCAATCAAAATAATATGGGGGTCCGTCGAAATATTAGTACACACAGCTTGTCATTCCACTTTATGGGCGCAGTGCTATTTCCTGCAATATCAAGCATAATGGGCGATGCACTCAAATACGCATTGCCATCTATATGGGTGAAGGCGAGATGGGGAGGAAAGCCAGGGTTATTACAACAGAAATGGGCCAGAAGTTTAGTGGGAGGATGTCTATTCGTAGTTTTGAAAGACGTAGTCGTGTTGTATTGTAAGTGGAAGAAAGCGAGGAACTTTGGGAAGAAAAAAGTCCTAGAATTTGGAGGCAACAGAGGGAAGGGAAAGGCTGCGTGAAAATTAGGGGAGAGTGGTGTATGGATATGGTGTTAAGTGAACATAGTGGGGGATGCATCTCAATCGAGGACGGAACATCGTGGGTAGGAAAAACCTTATTTCCCCGCAGAAGAACGCATTGAGGCTGTTCAAAGTGTAATTTTATGACCATTGGATATACGTCCAACGAATGGATTTGGTTGGTTGCCAAATACAAATGGAGGCACTATTAAATCCATATCATATCATATACCCATTCCATCTAACTCGCCATTCCACTACTACCAAAAACAGTAGCTATCAAGTGTAGGCATTCTGGGGGGCTTTTGATTCCGAGACGATTGTATCACCTGCTTAAGCGACAGAATTATCCTCGCGATTCACGGGATTCTCAATTAGAGATCCTCTATTCCCAAATTCCCTGTCTGCATCCCTGATTTATCTCAATATCCATCCATCACCTCATGCGCCTCGAGTAATCGAAGATAAACACCTAAAACTCATCAACGCGAATTCCACGACATCACCCGAATTCGAAAGCAATCACCAGGGAAAAAAGGAAGAAGAAAAAACATACCAGCAACATTCCATCTCACATCTGCCTCCTCAAATCCCTTTCTCACGAGAACCACAATATCGTGGGAAGATGGATCTTTAGATCTTATCTGCTCAACACACATATGATAAGCGAAAAACAACCCCCATAGGGACATGCTCTTGGGATCGCGTCCCAAGAGAGAGTGTGGAGTGGACACATTTGCGATGATTCGTTGGGTTATGCGTTGGAGGAGTTGGGATTTACGTTCCGTGCGGTGCTGATGTAGAGGGGATGGAGGATTTGCTGGATGCGGAGAGAGAGATGATGTATGTAGGGCTAGAAGAGTGCTGGGTGGAGAGTTAGTCGGGGAGCATGGCTGGGACAGTGTGAAAGGATGGAAAAGAGAGATGAAAGTACCTGTAGATAAACGCAATGCGATTACAGTCAGGATTTTCCACATTCACCGAAGCCTCAAGCATAGAGGTTACCGTCCGATCTAATTGCATCCATAACTCATCATCATGAGATGAAGCACCAGAAACATGGTTGAGCACTTGACCCAATAATCTAGCAGCTTGACATATCAGAGCGAATTTACTCATGTGGCCTGTGGTTGGCGAGGATAAGGTAGAGTAACTGGAGGAATTGATGATCTGATAAAGCGGTGATAAGTAGGTTATGAAAATCGATGATTGTGTTTGAGGATAGACAACTCACACCTTGGTTCCATGCTTCGTCGTCGCATGGTAATGTATCGTCTAGGCTTGGATCGGAGGTTGCGAAGGGTCGCCCTGGTGATCCTATACTAACGAAACTGTGATGATGGTTAGTCCTGATTAGAAAGGGGTTCGAAGAATAAGACTGGATTTGTGGATTCTGAAAACGAAATCATGGGAGAGGATCACTAACCGATCCAGAATTACGATAGCCCACCAAACTCTTCTTCTGAAACATCGGAATGTCAGCAATCGTATATCAAGGAAAACAGATAGAGGAAATCAAAGAAATGAATGTGGATAGAATAAGTAGATCTAGGGTATAGATAAGATGAGATGCCCAAGCAAAGTTGAAGGTTGTGGAATGCAAAGCATGATAAGTGAGCCAACGATATTTACCTCTCCTCCAACTCCACCATTGTAAGAACCCTCATTACATTTAGCCTCTTATTACAATTTATCCCCAGAGCATATGCATACCGCGCACATGCTCCGATAGAAAGATACGCAGCAGGATAAATACCATGACCCATCTCATACAAGGCGATCAGGATTTCCGCTTGAAGAATGGGAAGAGAAGGAACATTTGAGGTTTCTACTTCAAGACAATAATGTTTTATGGCTTGATATAATGAAGTTTGAGGATTCCGTGGATTTGTGGGAGGCAATGTGGTGATTAGTTTGATAGAGAGAAGAAGGAGAATGGTTTCTGGACGGTTAGGAATGGTGGATTGACAGGGTAGATGGTAACTGTAGAAACGGGGCTTGGAAATAAAAGACATCCATGTGTGATCGTGGGAGAAGAACTCGGTAGCACACTGGTGGATAGAAGTGATGTCTCCTAGTAGATGGAGAATATGTCCCGGGATAGAATGACCAGGCTGAGGCATGTCGATTTGCCCTTGCTGTAAGATGTATGGATCCAGAAACAGCATTGCTGAGAAACTGATCGATTGAGCATCTACATGGTCATAATTTACTGGTATCTGAATATTATGCCATGGTTGCGTAGAGGTTAGCGTAGATGTAGGTACAAAATTGCAGGTCTGCTCTGGCGTGGAGTATTCGCATATTAGATCTCTCCTAATATACTACTGTTAACCGCAAAAAAGAACAATCGGAAAATAGGTACATGAATTTACCTCAAACATCCCGAACATTGTGGAAGTAATCTATCGCACTTCTTCTTCCGTATCCTGCATGAAATGCATACTTGGTCCGACGTCGGTGATTGGTCGGCGCTCGACCCATCACTGGGTGTTTGCATGGTGGGGAGGATATTTCAAGGAATACTAGTATCCTACAATAATTTCAGAGTACTAATGAGAGTGAATGAAGGAAACAATGTTTCGATAACCCAAGATGATGTGAAGGGGAGTGAGTGAAATGTGGAGTGGGTGCGCCGCCATTGTTGACCCACAATTCTGGTGAAGGAGCGTTCGGCTGGCGCCGCTTGTGCGCCGCCGCTTATGAATGCCACCCTGCGTCCTAGCGAACCCAATCGGCAAGAGCGGGACTCAGGGGCTCCATCGTGTAAATATGCCCGTGAAATTCATATATAAGTATAGAGCTATGGAGCATGTATTTTCTCTCATCTCATCATCAGTACCCTCCCTCTTTCCTCTTCTCCTACCAGCCATATTGTCAGATCCTCCACACTTTTCGCCATGAATCGTTACGTTGCATCTCATATCAATCCCCAGGGCCCTGGAGATGCTCGGCCAACCGCACTTCAGATTATTCAGGACGAATCAATGATCGGTAAACTGGCTGGAAAAGTCATCGTTCTCACTGGTTCAGCCTCCGGAATTGGTCTCGAAACGGCAAGAGCCTTGTCTGCCACGGGTGCTACTTTATTCCTTGCTGCCCGTGACATAAAGAAGGCTGAAACTTCTCTTGATGAAATCTTAGAGCCCGGTCGTGTTACACTTGTAGAGATGGACAATACTTCTTTTGCCAGTGTCAGAACTGCTGCAGCGTTTATTCTCGAGAAATCGAAAAATCGGGTCAATATACTCATAAACAACGCTGGTGTTATGGGCATTCAAGATCTCCAACTCACCGAAGACGGGCACGAAATTACCTTCGTCACCAATCATCTCAGTCATTTCCTTCTATTTCAACTTCTCAAGCCTGCCTTACTCCTTGGCTCCAGCCCAGGTTTTCATTCTCGCGTGGTGAATGTTTCCTCCGCCGGCCACCGAGTATGTGATCTTCCTGACAGCGACAACTATGACTTCCAAAAAGGAGGTTATGATTACGGAGTTGCATACGCCAATTCGAAACTCGCAAATATATACATGGCCAATGAAATAGATCGTCGTTATGGCCAACAGGGACTGCATGCAACAAGTCTCCACCCTGGTCCTATCGACACGAACATTAGTAAGCACCTGGGCAGTGAATGGGTGGCTCAAGTTATGGGTCATGAGAAAGTTCGTAATGTTCTGAAAAGTGCTGAGCAAGGAGCTGCAACAACTGTTATTGCGGCAGTTGGAAAAGACTGGGAGGGAAAGGGAGGAAAGTATTTGGAGAATTGTAGTGAAGCGGAACGGGGAAAGGATGACTATCAAACTTTCGGAAATGGATGGGTGAAGCAAACATATCATCCGGAAGATGAAGGGCGATTGTGGAGAGATTCATTGAAAATTGTCGGGGTCGAGGACGATATGTGAGGAGTGAATATTCCGGGTTTATTGTTGTCTAGTCATGTAAATTAGCCAAATGGATATCGTTGTTGAAGATATCACTTCTATTCAGCCGAACAGATCCAGATTCATATACCATCAACATAAAATAGGAAACTTGTTGTGAATAATTATATTGATTCAGATTGACTGATTCTTGTAATATTAGGACTAGTTACATGTAGATATCCAGAAGTCATTTCCTTGGGCTTGTATACATTAATAGTAAACATTAGACATTAGAAATTATTGGTATAACCCGATTTAGAACAATGCTTCTGTCGCAAAGATCGCTTTCAGAAGTTAGCATATGTTCTCCCCCCTTTCATAACTACTCCTTTAGCAATGAATCGTCCAATATCATCTCACACTCTAGTCCTACACGAATATATTCCTCTGAAGAAGCTAGAGAGGAGGCGACTGAAGCAACAGGATGTCCCCTAGCTACCGCCTCTGCCGCCTTAGCTACTCTTGCCGCCTCTGCCGCCTCTGCGTTTTTTACCCCCTGAATCTCAACAGCTTTCTCTATCTTGGCCTTCAACTCGAAACTCTCCTTCGACTTTGTCTCAAGTACAGTCTCGATGAACTCCACATTCAGCTCGGTACTATCATATTTCAAGCTGGGACAACACTGAACAAGGGCTGAAGTAGGAAAGTAGGTTTTGAAAGTGTAAGTCTGCTTCATCTTCTTTCGCTTTCGTTCGTCTGCAGGGATGGGGGTGTGGCGGTCTTTGATAAATTGAGACATGTATTGGACAGGCACACTATCCTGAACCCTAGTCCCATCGTATAGAGTTCTTTTCGTTTTTTCCAAAAAAGTTCCAAATGGGTCGCTAGTTCCTTCCCTATCCATCTTTTTGGCCTTGTCTCTGACACCTTTTGGTTGGCTCTGCAGCCATACGTACTGAGCATCGCCAACTGGAACCCTACGCTTCTGCTCCTTGGTGACCTGAAAACTCCAAGTGTTATTGTTCTTTTCTACTCTGGTCAAGGTATAGAGATGACGAGAGTTATATGGCTTAGGTTCGAATTTAGCACTGTAGTCACGTTCCTGTGCCTCAGTAGGAGATTGCAGTACCATAGCCTCCATCATCCTCAGGCGATCCTCAGATAGAACCTTCTCAGTGGTAGTCTTTTCCGTTGAAGTATTTTTGTTCCCAATTCTTGTGGTTGAACCTTTCTGAGGTAAAGGCAACGCAGCCAAATGCTTCACATTGGTCGCCTTTCTCTGACCCCCCGAAGTTATTCTTGTATTATTTTGGCTCGCAGCGGCGTCGATGGCTTTAGTGTTCGAGGATTGGGCTGTATGACTTCCGTTGACATTTTCGTTGGTTGTTTCAATCTTCTTTTCGACAGAACGTTTCTTTGCGCGGGTCATTTTCATTCCACACAAGTCGTCGGTATCTGGAATGATGTTGTTCTCATCTAAATCGTCATCGAATAGTCCGGCTTTCTTTTTGGGTCTCTTTGCCGAGTGTGAGGCTCCAGTTTGGTGAGATTCATCATTGCCCGACTCTCGTTTCTTGGACTTGGTGTTCGAGTTGGCGTTTTTTGCTGCGTGTGATGATCCGACTTGATGAGGTTCATCAAGATCCATCTTTTTCTTGAGTTTATTGGACTCATCATTTCTTGTAACCATTGGTGGTAAGGTATCAGGAATGCCCGAGCCTGCGGCTGCTGTAGATGATCCAGAAACCGGATCTATGGTTGTCAAAGTTTGATTGGAATCGGAGCCGTTTGTAGCTGGGTTGGATGAACCGAAAGTTGGTGATTCAGTTGGTGTACACATGCCCTGGGTGGTTTTTGAAAGGGATGATTGTGATAATGAGTGGATAGACTCGGAGTCTCCTGTGGTAGATTCTGCAGACGGACCTGGAGAAGCGCCTGGCGATGACAGCGGTGACAACATCTTGGAATGCTGTGAGACAGAGGTAATTGGTGGCGTAACTGGCAGAGTACGATATGTGTCTTGGTTATTCGTATTTGTTTTATACTTTTTACTATATTCGAGGTTGTTATGCTATTCGAGGTTGTTATGCTATTCGAAGTTGCTATGCGATTCGAAGTTGTTGTGTTATTCGTAGTTGATATTTTACTCGTAGCTATTGTGTCGTCACGGAGTTGATTCTGTATCGTTTCGGGGAAAAAAAGGGTAGCGGTGACGTAATTGCCGAATTAACAAACCACGAAGATGCTTCTGAATAGAAACACAACTTGCAGATAGATTGTAGTTCGGATCGTTAAATGGTAAACCGCGTACTGTTTGTATAGATGGGGACGAGTGAAGTAAGATGTGAAGGATTTTTCAGTGCAATGGAGTAGAAGCGGTGCTCCAAATTGGAGGCACCGCCTAGAAGGAAGTTGCACAAATTTGGGCTAGATATGATTGAGACTAGGCCCTCGTTGTTGTCCCGGTGTATGATCTGATATACATGAAAAGTCCTGCAAATTTTCAATGGAAGGCAGATTTTGATGCTGAGAGAAAGGTTTTTTGTGATTATTGCTGTGTGGAGGGGAATTTTTTTGGAATCGGGTCTTGCAATCCGCGCTGCGCTAATGATGAGCCGGTGAATACCTTGGTGTCAAATATGCCAGATTCGATAGTGCCCTTCGGATTCTGCAGAACTCCGGCTAACCTCGGAAAATCAAACATACTCACATTTTAGACGGCATTTGGGTTTTCACTGATCATACGTAGTGAGAGGGGGAGCTTGGATAGGTCATGGTCACGAAGGAGCAGATCACGAAGGAGCAGATCACGAGGTGGGGTTCTAAGGTAATAATATATAAAATATGTAGCATTATACTCACGATAAGATGAAGAGACCTTTGGTAGAATTGTTACAGTGCCCAGACATACGGAACAAGCAATAAGATACTGTAGAGGTACCATACGACGAATGAGTATAGTTCATTGATGGTACTCTGTGTTTTCCAAAGTGCTAAAAGTCCCTTCATCGACAATCTCGACAGGTGTTCATCTACATCATCATCCCCATCATCATTGTATTGATCGGCAAAAGGCCTGAGCTTCAAACCGAACAAAAAGTGGCATGCCCAACCATGCGAAGAGGACCATATATCAAAGACGCCGAGTTTTTGTTACTATGTAACAACATTAACATCATTGCAAATATAATTTTACATGCGACTTTCATTCAAGAGTTTGTAACAAATTCTGTGAAAAAAATCGGTTTAGAATACCCACTTCTTGATATTCCTATTAGATATTAAATATAGAAAAGAGCATACATCTCGAGTATTCCTTTTTCTTCTTCGCCAAGAGCTGATGTACGGGGCATGCATTAGCGAAACTGGCCTTGATGCCTCATCAATACTGTAATGAAGTTTGTTTCAAAAGTCAAGCATCTGTGAATCGCATGTTTGAAATGAATAAAAAGGGACCTTCTCTCTACCGTGGCTATTTTATTCAACGCTGTATAAAGTACAACAGATGGCGGGTGAACACCTGAATCATTGCCTTGAAAAATTCAGTGATCTATTAAAAGCCTGATCAGTGACGATCTTTAACAAGCAAGCATCGACGATAATATAAAATGTCAACGAGGACTAAGAACAATAGATCTAGTGTACAAACTAGATAACACACATATAAGAGGACTGCGCTCACTTTTTTAAAGAGCAATTCCTTCTTCGTCTCTCCACATCATTGATTGTTTTTATTCTCTACCAATAATTTAACACGTCAAAAATAGCGCCCTAAAGAGCATTTCAGTTCCGACATTGATATGGTCTGAGATGTAAACATTTTATGCACGGCAAGAGTGTCCGTAATCTCTTGACCATATGGCAACAGAATGTAATGCAATGAAATCATCCAGAACAGAGAACGAAACCATCAGTCATTGAGACAATATTTATCGATATGACAGATAACCAAATCACTTTGACGACAAAGTTTCGAAGAAAAACAAAACTATCATCGGCGAGGCAGGAGCTTCCTTGACCTTCGATCAAATAACTACCGGACGCTGCGCAATAAAATCTACAAAGACGCGAATAGAAGCCATCACTCATTGCGACGATATTAATGGCTTTTCTTTGCTAGGAGGAAGAGTTCATGGGATTTTCAAGTCGGTAATGAGAAAGGGAGAAAGGGGGAGAAAATCATGCGTGTGTATCGAGCACGCAGCCCTGCCAAGCATCTGGCACTTATGTACACTCTTAATCAAAGGTGTATAGTCTTACACAGATGCACCTAGTGTTCAACGGTTATCCAACTGATTTAAGACGCAAGGCACGCTTGAATTACCACGGTCGACTTATAACAACATAACATAACAAGAATTGCGACGCTTTCCCACTAGGGCTAAATCACATGCTCTCAACTTCATGCGAGCAATCCATACATGGTCCCATTTATTTGCGACGAGATGAATCTCGAGTCGGAGCGGAAAACCAGTCTTCAGTTATGCGCTGACTGCAGAAAGCATAAAGACGTTGTTCCCCAAGCATTGTTTCGGGTAACAAAGCCGGACTTCTGCAGTATTACCAGAGAACGAATCGGACACTTCGTCAGCTCATCGTCGATTGTTACTTTTTTTGGGTGTTAATAGTTTGACGTAGTGACTGCAATAAAGTTATTGTTGTTGCAGTATGGAGTATTCATGGGTGGGTGGTACGCGACGAATGCTTTGTTTTGATTACATACCGCTTTGCATGGATTACCAACAATATCGATAACCTTGCGAGAGTGAATGAACTCGAGTACCAGTACCTCGAGAACTCAGTGCTGCGGTTGCACCATACCCCTTTGGCCTGTATGACGGAGCACAACGCGTCAATAAAACAATCGCTATTGCAGTAGCAGTATGCGGACATTCCATGTTGTACGAGTATTGTATGGTTAGGAATCCTCGAAGATACTTCCGTTTGCATCCTCCCCACAATCCTCATGTCTCTTTAATGTCCTCACGATTCACGAATGATCGAATACGGAAAGAAATGCAGAATTGACAGCTATCAATTAATTGATGGCCAGCCAGTGTTTGTCGGTTGAACTTTTCCTTTCATTATCGATATCAACGTTTCGTGTTTCGTCGCGTTTTGGTCGCAAGGAGAACCGTGAGCGGCTACGGTTACCACTTTAAAAAAATCCCAGCACCCTTGACCATCATCCATCCACCATAACCACACATACACGATACACCACACACCGCACCTCCATCTTTTCTGCAAGAACACTTCATCTTTCTTTCATGGCTGCATGATATGCTTGCATCTATACCAGTCATCCATGGTACGTACTGTACTCACGACGCCAACGATTCGATGGTAATCTTCCACGGGACTCCCGGTTTCCGATACTGTGGGATGCTGTACGCTTCGACAAGCATTGCCTAATGGTCAGACGAGAGTCAATGTAAGATGTAAGATGCGAGTCCAGCTTGCAGCATCTCACGTTATTCCACAACCACATCAGTTTTCAGCCTAATGCGTGCGTCTCTATTGAATCTAGATTGTTAGTTCTGGCAAGCCGGTACAGCTCAAGTTGGAAGTCCACAAATGTGCTCGGGTAGGTATCAAAAGAACAGACTGGTGCGGATCTTGCATCCTTTGCCTGCTTCGTAGCAGACTAAAATACCGTGTTTACGCATGTGTAAGTTCGAAATTGCGGTGAAGATAATCCTCATTTCGAATCGCAGAATTGGCTACATCAGAACCTAAGATGGATACGCCAGAACTACCCTGCTTTCAAAATTCTGTAACAAATTGACCCTCAAATATTTCGAATCAATGCCTGGATACAAGATTTGGTTAGCTTATAATTAGTATTCAAAATTTATCATCTTGATAATATAATTTTGATTGCTATCGAAATCCAAATGAAGGCATCCTTGAAAGGGTTGTGATTTTAGCGATTTAGCAAAAGAACCAGTTCAATCTTGATGTCAAAACTGCTGGGCTTGGGAGTTTAATTTCTTTGATCTACAAGACAAGTGAATCTTTGATTATTGGGTGGGCATAGTTATTATGTTCTGCGTCAAAATATCTTCAAAAATGTAGTCACAAAGAAGTTTTTGGCACATTTGAGAATATTCAGAGGTATGTTTATATGCCATGATTTCGAATTGGGTAATATTGCTATATTAAACACGCTCCTAGGCGTGAAGTATGCTCTCCTGCGGCTTATTCAAGTCATAGCTGTCACTTCCAGCTCAATCTGCTGGCCTCTCGAGTTTGAGGTTAAAGAATATCCTTATGTGTGAGGTTTAGGATGCAGGCCCTCTAAACACCAGATAATCTAATGGAACTGAAGATATTGATTTCGTGGAGTGGTATCTTTATAAAGTGTTTTTATATACTCTGTACTTTAAGGTTCTCAATCTCGGCTTTTGACTATTTGAGCTTTTTCTTGCTTCTTCTGGTAAAGTTTTGAGTCCTGAACACATGGTATTTTTTGATTTGCAGAGATGGAGTTGGGCTTGCATTATTTATGGCCCGTTTCTTGGGTACCAGTAGTGTTATTGCCATGGAAACAAACAGACATATTCCCAATGCTTTTACTGAGACCTTCAAGAACAAAGACGTAAATAACATGCCTATCCTGCATGCTAAAGTGCTGGTACCTCCTAACGCTTCTTCTATTGGACAAGATCATGCATGTCTGACTTTTTCAAAGAGCCCCGGTCGTTGATCTAGGGGCCGTCAGAGAGATATGCTTAAAGTGAGAGACGGCTCAACTGATCAGCCTCTCCACTTTGGGAATCACTTTTGTGGTTAGTTGGAGAGACTGGGAGCCAATCAGGCTATTGCCAATTTCATTATCTAGTTTTGTTGCACATCTCAACAATTTCCACATGAACTGACCTGAGAAGAAGTATCTATTGAATCGGAGATTCAAATAAATACAGGTCATTTTCATTGGCAGCGGCGACCTCCGTCCGATCTGTGATGACTCCAGAAAAAATGGACTGCTTTGACCTACATGTTACATCATTGTAAAATTTTGAGTTCTCGAACAAAGCTCTGGCGTGTGAGGAAAGGTTCGTGCGATCGTCTTTGCACTATTAAGGTTTCGGTTTATCTAGCATTAGGGGATCCAGTCTCGGATATGTAGGGGTTTAGACACGCTGAGAGCGTGAGATTCATGCGTATCTACACCTCTCATACAAAATGCCTCAGGTGGACTCGAGAAGTGTGAATACTGAACTCGAGACCGCCCGGACTGTACAGAAATCCTGGACTTCTGTCCCATTTTACCCGATCCAACGATGAATGTAGTTTTTGCTACTGGTTGGTCGTATATGAGAAATCTATCCGTTCTTCCGTAGGGCTGGATCCACCCCAAATATTGACCGAGAGAGCGCTCTGAGCACTTAGAAGAATCTTGATGATGTGCACTACGCTTCATGATGTTACGAACAGCGACCAAACCTGGAATGGGTGGATCAATAATGATAAACTTGACTTTTCAAACTAAGCTTGCAGGCAAGCGTAGGAAAAGAGGCTGGAATTCTGTATAGTGCGTTCTCATACTCGGCAGTAATATGTATATGTCTGCCATGACATTGCCACACCGAGCATAAGTCCACACACAGTGTGATATTTATACTACGCGGAAGATAGAGCACTTCGATATAATGGAGAATTCGCGTGGTAACAGTGTATATCCTAGATCACAGATCAAAATTCAGTAGATTTGCCGATCTTAAGCGATATAATAGTTGAACTGTAGGCAACTAACTCATGGTAAATTACGCTCGTTCTACGGAATACATTCAATATTCCGTTTTCACTGATGAGTATGGGAGTAAAATAGCTTCGATAAACATGATACTAGAATAGTATGCTACTATATCAAAGCAATCTGAAATCCAAGAGTCTACTAAACGAGCTGATCTAGTACTGCTGCATTAAAAATGCAGATGAGCTAGTCTAGACTGTCCTCTGGACTTTGTAATTGAATGATGGTGCATGTAATACACATATTTCTATGAAAAAGGGTGAAAAAGGACGAAGAAAAAAGCGTCTCTTCGAGTTTCCAACTGGACCGCATCTCCTATAACATGAACGTATTGGTCAGTTTGGCTAAATATAGGGTTGTGAATACTCTTATGATCCAGAAGATTGAACTACCCCCGCTCGCTAAGATTTAAGAACACAAATTATGTCACATGCACAACTTCGCTTCTTGCTGTAGTCTTTCAACACATCAATCTAGAATTCTGGACTGCCCATCACATGACAGAAAACTCCGGCAACTGCTTGTTGACGGAGTATTCTAGACTTAACCAATTGTAGGTCGCGAAATTCGGAGGATATAAATTTGTTGCACATCTTCAAATGTCTCAAACTGAATAACTCATAATTCACTCCAAGATTGGCTCGTATTGTAACCCGTATCGCCTCCAATGGTCAATCACTAAGCTTTGGAGTTAGAAGATTGCTCAAAGTATGTTGGGAAAGTGTAAAAGGAATTAAGGCTTTTATGACTTCAGCCAAGAAATGCGCTCGGTCAAGTTTTGTCCTGGGTAAGTCTGTCTGAACTTCAATCAACATCTTGGATCACTTGTAATCAAGGAAATAATTATTCCTTCGTTGAAACGATACTTTCCGGCTATGTACACCATAGCCATGATCATTTCCTTGTATCGAGATGATAGAACAGACTTCTTTCAAGATTCTAATACTAGGAACCCTCGAAGCTACTCTGTGTATGTCCAAAGGTTAATCCTATATTTGCTCCCTCCACCCAGGATATGATTATTACGCTCGCTAGACTATTGTCATAACAACCAAGGGACCATCTCGAAGGTCTATTCGAATTCAAGACTATCTAGACACCATCGCAGACTCATCGACCATCCAAGCGCGCCTCAATTGGGAAATATCAAGTCTTGTCTAAGCAAATCACTGAAAATGGAAATCTGTATAACTTGCAGATTCAAGAAGCTGTCGAATATCAAAAGCGCAGATCCATATGATAGCGAGAAAAAATGCTGGTTTTTGTGGAGCCTTAGCACTGTTGATAGGAATATTTCGGTATGTCCTCGAATTTGCAAATATTGCCTGAAAAGTTGGAACTCATTGATGAAACCAAATATAGAAGGATTCAATTATATATTACCATCAAGTTGATCGTTGATGAGTTGTGGATTAAGGTTGTATCACTGCCATTCATCCGGATGTGGCGTCGCAGAATGACGGGCATGAACCCTAAGAAATTCCCAAGAACAAGAAGTAGCTAGCTCCGAGTCCAAACTTCCAGAGCTGGCTCGGTCATACGATCCAATCACATCGTTATCGCTCCTCGCTTATCAATTTTGGTCACAATGAGAATATCATTTCTCAATACTGTTAGAAGAATGATCGTCAGAAGAATCCAGACTCAGATTGGTGTCACACTGACAGACGGCATTTATTAACTTTCTATGTTTATGTCTTGGTAAAGCCGAGGAATATTCGTGACATTCACGGTATCCAATTCAAGATATGCAACAAGATTGGGTTGAATCACGTGAGTCAACACACTAGTTGCTTAGAGAGGCTTGGCATTCAACATAATTATGTCTTGGTTTTCAGCGCACGAGAGATTGCGTTCAATTTTTGAGTCTGATATTCATTGACAAGACTTCATATTAATATACATCTGATTAGTCGTAGTCTGGCTATAATGACTGATGGTTAGTTAGTGCACTGATACCAGTCTCGCGTCATCGTCCACGCTGCGGATATCTAATTATTAATCATCTTTCTCCTTATTCCCTAACTCCAAATGCATCGTCTTATTTCCATTCTCATTGTACCTGTCCTAGCTTTCCTTTCATGCTTCGGGGATAAAAGATCTCGATGCATCAAAAGGTCCGGTCCGATGATGTTAATGCAAGACGGTCGGATAAGGAGTTTTAACAAGCGTCAGATATGCTACAATAACATCTAAGCACTGCTGAACTGAACAATGCATCTTTCAATATAGCTACGACTACGTACTCGTAGCAGAGCACAGATGAATGCGGGGAATTTAGCGGCTTCGCTTCACTAAGAAAGGGGGCACTGACAGCACGTGCATTTTGGGGATAGTCGACAGATCAGCAAACGCCAGTGAGTGGCCGGGTGAAACTTACATGATAGTCCTCGCCACAAACAGAATACTCGTATCTTATTGGTCAGCCACCAAAGCATCATCTGACCCTCCCGAGCGCAGAAGCGTGCACCTCGAAGGAATCAAGGCGAACGGTGGCTTGGAATGAATCACCACACACTATCGTGATCCCAGTCACCGCATATCCATGCCCAGACACTTAATCTAGGCTCATGCATGTTCTCCCGTCTCTTTCGTATGTGATAGTCATTTCCATTGTGGTTCGTGAATTTGTAGGCGGGACGGGTAACTCTGGCTCTCAAGACAAGCATTTGGAGTGTTGTATTTCCACTTCTGATATTAATGCCGAGCATATCGAATGTCCGTTTTTATTTCGAGTGAGCACAGGTGCAAGATGCAATGTTAGAACCACACATGCAAGCAACAAATCTAATTTGTCAAAGATTGCTGTACTATTCTAACTATTGGTATAGCGATGACTCCGTCCGACGCATTGGATGCTGTTTCGATGTACATGTACATTATACCTATTCCTCTTTCCCAACCCCGTCTTATTCCTAAAACCCGACCGCTTATTTACAAGTGGTCTTTAACGTATTTTATTGCCATGGAAGCTTGTCTAGCCAAACAAACATGAAAATTCCATCCTTCTACCGTCCTATGCGTTGGAATGTTCCGCCCAAAGGGTATAAAGCGAAAGTACCATATAGGTCAAAAGAAAATCCTGTAACTCCAAAAAATGTATCATGACAAAAAGCACCACAACTCCCAGTGAATCGGTATGCTGCCGCCGCCATGCTTGTCCTGCCTGCCCTGAACGCCTGGTTGGCACCTGCACCAAAGACCCGAGGTCAAAATTCCAACATTTCTTCGTTTTAATCATGCAATGACCGGGTTCTGACCTCTAAGCAGCCCGGTCGAAAAAAAACTATACAATGAATTCCAAAATTAAGGTCGAAAAAAAATAAAATAAGAGACTTTTAAGAAAGAAAGAGAATTCCCAATGGATTCTGCGCATTGCACAGCCAATCCGTTCAAAACTTCCGTGGAAAAGGTGCTCCGATTTTTGGATAAGTTGAAGATGATTGAGAAGGCCCTTGAGAACCCGAAGGTGTTGGTAGTCCATCAAAATAAACATGCCCATCGGCAAGAACATCGTGATTTTCGTGACCACGGCTGTTAGAATCTAGAAAAGAATTGCCGGTGCTGCATAATGACCGAGTTGAATTAGTGACGCCATTGAGAGTGCTGGTACACCCATCGTCGGTATAAATAGCAGAGTCGCGAGACGAAGATGAGGATCGGAATGGACTTGCGACACACGGAGACGAGGTGGAGTACCCAGAGTCATTGGTTAAATTGCCAACGATTGGTGTTGGTGTACGACCAGATCCTTGGGAAGAGGAAGCGTAAAAACCTGGCAATTGTTGTATTCTTAATCTCAGCTCTGGAACTGTGATACGGAGATCCGGGTCCTGTTGAAAAATCATTTGTAAAATGAGATTAAGCTCGTCCGATGGGTTCAAGATAGTTTTCAGAAAATCTGGATTCTTGAGAAAAGCATTATACGTGGCATCATCCCATGAGGCTTGTCTCCAAGGATTTCTTCCAAAGGTGAGGTTGACTAAGATCACTCCGAGAGACCAGACATCGTTTGGGGCACATCTGTATGGCTTATATGATTGCTCTAGACACTCTGACAGTGGAACCAGTTAGTATGTGAAGGGTGATGGGGGATTGGGAAGTAGAATGAATAGTGCCTACCTGGAGACATGTAGAATGTAGATCCGCATGCGTGATCGCGAGATGTTGGTTCCTGAGTGGCCAATCCAAAGTCTGCTAGGCAGACGGTATGACCGGAATTGGCGACCAGAATGTTCTCAGGCTTGAGATCCCTATGGTATATTCCAAGGCGGTGGCAATGTTCCGTGGCATCCAAGATTTGGAGGAAGATGCTCCGGATTAGAGCATCATGACCTACATATCTACCACCCTCGGTAATATTTGAAAAAAGATCTCCTTCTTGGTAGTAGTCCAGGATAACATAGGTGCAGTCCGGGTCATCGAGAATCTTGTACATCGAGACTATGTTAGGATGCGCGGAAGCACTCCAGTGCAGGGCTATTTCTCTTGATTGATAAAGTCGTTGTCTTGCGTCCAAGGGCTGCCCATAGGCATTTCTTTTGTTGAGCGCCTTTACGGCATACTCTTTTCCAGTGGATAAATCCTGAGCATAATATACAGTTCCGTAGGCTCCTGAGCCTAACACTCGTGACAACAATAGAGTTTCTCCGAGTATTGTACCTATCCTATGATCCTGGGGCATCGCAAATGATAGTGGTGATGGAGGTGGGGTTGGATATGTATGGTGAGATGAGAATGGTGTATGATAAGGGTTGACCTGAGATGGTGGATATTGGTGATGAGGGTTGCCTTGAAAAGCAACTTTGGTTGGTGGGAAACATGGTGGTAACTCCCTATTATAATCCAACATGGCAGAAAGTGAAGAAGGAAAAAGGAAACGACCTGGATATCAATGGGCTCCTACTCCAATGGACCAAAAGTTGGGACAGATGAACAGTTGTAAAGGAAAAGGGATCCGGGGCGCAACTTCCGGTTCCAAATGGTTTCTTTGCGTTATGGCTAGGTTTATATGTAATTACGCATGTCGTCTTGGGAAAGGAAGGAGCTGAGCGACGACAAGTATATTGAGGAAATGAAGTGAAATCAATTATGAGTATCTTGATGATCATAATGAGGAGGAACCGATTGTATGTATATATTCAAAATACTAGCTTACTTCTTGCAATCTCGATAATCAAAAATAATATAAATGGTCTAAACTTAATCAAGTAATAGTAGATTGAAGTGCGAGCCCGAGAGAACTAAAAGCAAGGCTGTTCTAACTTCTAACACCAGGAAAAAAAAAAGATCTGAGACACTTTCTCTTGCCTCAAAATCGCCTCGTGGGTGATCTTTCGAGGCTTATTTATTTTATGACTAGTTTGAATGCATGTACACCTCGATGTACACTTTCTAGGACATGATAATTCTGCCACTATTTTGTTTTCGACCTACAATAATAATAGGCGACCCCTTCTAGTAACCACACCAGTAGTCATTCTGGATATCATCGTCCAAAAGGAAAGGATTATTCTGTTCAACCCATGGATTTCTTCTTCGAGTAATATATAGAGCTAATCATCATGCCACGTACCCAAGGATTATAATTATATCTATTTGTTCGATAGGGCTTCGAAGTTCCATTGGGGTACCCTCCCTCAGTCTTTGGTCATGGAACAAAACTTAGATACTCCCTTGCTCCCTTTTCCTTCCTATTCTTTCTGTCTGGGTTCTTTTTGCTGGTCATGCTGGTGAAGACCTCAATTATTCAATATTAGCATCGGCCGCAATCCCTGACGATCTCCAGTTAAAAATCGTCAATTCATGCAACATTACTGCGCCCTTGCCACGCATACGAGCCCAGCCCAGTAAAACATCACCCAATGAGTGATCTGAGCGGCATAAAGTGGAAACGACGATAGTGAGGCTGCAGCTACGGAAATGACTGATGTTTGTGGTTAAGATCGTATTGGATTGATTTGATCATGAGTAAAAGAGAAACGCTGTGGGCGTTGATATTCCTAGGTTTGTATAACTTGGAAGTTGGTGGTGATGTTTGTAAACAGAATTTTTAATTTATATAAGAACAGAACTGTGAAGCTAATACATGTTAGTCTACTTATCGTACCCACAGCGAATTGACCCCAAATTTGATACCTTAAATCGTGAATTGACCTTAACATTCGATAGACAAGCGTACTCATTAATGACTTGACAAATGATCCACAATAATACACATTTGTTGGCAGAATCTCATCCACACGAATTCATTGGCTCATCTAATTGGCATCGATTTTGGTGACAGACTCATATTTTCCCCACAGCCTCTTTGCACAAGCTGCACATCTTGCTCACTTACGGAATACTTCAATTATGCACAAGAATGGATAAAGCCGGCAGTAGTGACTGGGCGAAGGAGGGCGAGATGCCAAAATAGAGGCTGGACATCTCCGAATTACCTAGTCAGAGCATGGATATCATAGCCTACCAATGAAGGTTGTCTACAGACTCATCGAAAGTTGAAATCATCGCTACTTCGTACACATTAAGCCTTTCCGATGAAAATCCGCCTTAGTCAAACGCCCCGAGACTCCATCTCACCCAATGGTTGTGCTATTTACTCAGTCAGCTTTTGTACAGGACCCGACATCCTTCATATGGCAGGTTGTACCTAGACTGACAGTTGCTACAAATGCTACGCACAATCACTTCCAATCAAACCCATATAACCAAGCCCTCCTATTATGATTGCACAAGATTACATAGGCTACAGCTGCCTCTTCAAAATGACTTCTCTCTTACCGCCAACACCGCCATTATTCGCCCGAGAAAACAAAATTGAAGTTTACACCTAGTGATAGTGATAATTACCAATTAGCCATCTCCTTGCAATGTCGAACAGATGGTCCTGGCAAACTACTAGCTGGGCACCGTTTAACCTTCGTCAACCCCTGAAACTCACCGCTACCCAGTGCCAATGTCCACTCCAAACTTTGGAACTCCCGAACGCAGCAAATAAATGAGTGAACTTGTCTCGAAACCAAAATCTCCTTCATTATTAGTTTGATGTACCAATATCTCATATTGTCAACAAGTAATATTACCTGATTTACACCAGCGCCCGAACTGCTAATTTCAGGCAGGAAGGATTAGGATCTGATGTGCTTAATATGCTAGGTAAAATTCAATAGATTGAACATTCATTACTCCATACAATAATATGTGGTCTGTGGTCTTTGGTTGCAAGCCGTTGTGTATCCGTAATAGCACTCTGACCACCATCTGAATCCCTTCAATAACCCATACCCCCACAGGAAACGCTGTACAACCTTAAGGTCTTTTTAATCCCGGCTCCACGTAACGGAAATGGATGACAAGGCAGGAAAACAGGCAATCTCTCACACCTTTGTAGGTGTGGTTACAATACATAACCCCCCAATCTAAGCAGCCCTCACCAACCATCCAGTGAACGCACGCCGACAATATAGCCGATTCGCAAGAGGTGAGAATGAAAGGAAGACGCACGTCAGATGGTGGTCAGATGTGGAGTAAATAAAAATATCTGAGTGGAAGAAGAAAATGGTGTGTAAGGCGTAGGTAGAATTCGCCGTCTTACTGCAGCTTTCTTCAATTCTCGAGGTTACCCTGATACTGTGCCCTGACTATAGAGTACAAAGCGGAGATAATTCGCCATCGTCTTAGGTTGCAGGATTGGATGCGATTTTCGAATGGATGCGATTGTCACGATCATGAGATGTACAGCATTGTTGATCTTGGTTTCCATCCTCAGCTATCTCAGCTATTGAAAGTCCTGGCCAGACATTCCTGTCTACCCCATCTCTCACAGGACTGGCCGTGTAGTCCTGCTATTCCTTCTCTTCCTGGCCGATTCAAATAATGACGAGGTACGAAGACACCAACCGGAGTCCCGCATCCCAGCCTCATTCCTTCCCGTCAAACTTAGACACTCGGGTCCACCAAAGTTGAGATATGACAAACCTACGACTCTACAAGACGATAACAGAATGGTTGACAATGAAGAAGCAGCCGGATGTAACTGATCGAATGATATTCATTTGATGGTGTACCATTTTAGTGACACAATTCAAGCCCAGTGAGCTCATTATTAATCTTTACTGATGCCTCTTACCATCCCTACCAGATATAAGATAAATCACAATTGGAGGGCATTGAGTCATGTACGTTAATTCGGGAATACCGATTCAAACTTTTCTGGTCGGTGTGACCGTTGGATTGTGGAGGAATCAAATCCCATCATCCTTTATTGGTTACAAATACTTATCTGTGGCCGAAATTCCCATTTCAGCTTAATGTCGCTATATTCTCAAGGTCAAGCCAACCTTCTGTATTGAGCAAATTTTAATATATTTAATCAAGCGAAATCAATAATTAACAAGCAAATAACAAATCATTGCGCATCTCTCATCACAATTTGTCTATTAGCAAAAACGCCGGCATCATTTCTAAGCGTTACGAGATATGCACGTGTTTGAACCCCCGCTCCCACTACAATCCAACGCCAACCATCCAAAATGTATCATAACCGCCATGTGTGACGTTTGAGTGCAAACCTTTAATAATTCCCATGAACTGCTAAATGCACGTCATCTCCAGATCTGTACAGTGTACTATTCTGAGCACGTACCCGCACGGAATAAAGAAGTGGTCCTTCCTGGACCCTATATCAATCGTGGGAACATATCGACCGCTATGAAGACCTCCAGGCCGCAAAGTGAAGGCGCTAAAAGAAACATGCTTCTGTGTGCTTTCCATCTATAGTCAACACAATATATCATCCTCAATTTCTCGAAGTCTGTGGCCACGAGTGTGGAATCCATGTCGATTTTGTATTGAATCAAGTGAATTGCCTTTTTCGTATCTGCGTCGTGTAGATTGGTACCTGTACCCACCATCATTGCTTCTTGGGGGACGGGGGGTTAGTCTTTCCTCGGGCGGGTATTTAGTACGAATATTAGACTCAGCCAGATATACTGGCACAATAAAAAGATAATTAGATCCACAGCCTAAATGACACGACACCTGTAGGAGGAAAGTCTCTCCAAGATTGGTCAATTTAAAAATACATATAAACAGAATGTACGTATTTACAGTTCATATGATCAAGATTTGCATGATTCAGATGACATAAATTTTGACCCCAAGACAAAGACAACATTTCAGTTGCAATGACAGCTGCAGCCAATGCTGTGCCGCAGGGAGGGGTTCCTCTCTGTTGTGTGTGGTTGATTATATTTAGATCTTATCGCGAAAAATGCGATAAAACTTTCATATTATGTTTGATCTATTCATAACTAGCGAAGGAGATGCTCCGAGGAAAACATGCTGGTGGGATGAGAATAGCTCTTGGTTCCAACCAGCGTCAAGTATCATTGCTACGACTCTGAGACAGTCTGACGGGATAGCCCTTCAAGGCGCATGAGCTTGTTCTATACTTGACTCCACATCTAGTGTTGTTGGGATTTGATTCAAATGAACTCAGATCTACCATCAGCATGGAGGTCATGGTCTGAACTAGATAAGATGGCAATAAATTAAGCGAATAGAATAATCCCTACAACACAGCTTAACAATCTGAGAGTATCCAGTCAAAGTTCCGTCGGTTATGATGTATTTGTGGTGAATCTACTATTCTACTGTTGGAAGGATGAAACATATGGTTGAAATGGCCACGAAGTGAGTGCCTAGGTAATTAACCCCGCAATACTTCTATTCTAGAGTGCTAGAGAACATCAAAATATTCTCAAATCTTGTTTTCCATGTCTGTAATCAGTATATTGGGTCAGCATGTCTTGTCACAAGCGTAATCTACTTATCAACTACCAAAGTTAT